TCTTTGGAGCTTTCTAGAATTATGGAGAACATTTGTTTTGTATGATATTAGAATTTGGAAATATCTAACAAAATGAATAGTATACAGTTTCAAAATGGTTTAGAGATATCATTTCCCACAATGCATTATTTGGTTAATTAATATAAACTCTGGTTTTTATTCTTCAGCTCCCAACTCCCAGAACATTTGAAAAATCAAGATAATCCTGATCCCTATGCCAAACTGACAGGTGTGGTACAAAAAAAAAAAAAAAGAATGGCAGGAAGACTGAGTAAGAAAATAAACTCAGACACATCTTTTAATCTTAAGTCAACATTTATCATCTATTGCAAAGTAATAAATCAACCTGGAGAAAATCTCTCTACACAGCTGCTAATAATGAATATTGACTTGATGACACATAATGGAATTTTAAAGTAAACCATTTATGTTCGTTTTCCTAAGGGCTGTAAATAATAAGGCCTCCTTCAGGTCTAAACAGGTGCTAAGTGAGCACATATATTTCCTTGAAATGATATGGAAGTGGTTTGTCATGACACTCTTCTGAGATTTTTTTTCTTTTATTTCCCAGTATAATCTATAACCCTAAGATTTCTTGATGGCATCCCAAGTACTAACTAGGCCCAATCCTGTTTAATAGTTTGGATCTACCATTATCAGCTAAATTCTGACATCTGCTTTGACTCCAGCTACTATAAAGGTAGACTACTTATATGATTACATTTTGTACATTGAATTGTTCAATTCAGTAGTCTATTGAAAGTGCTGTGACTAAACGAAGCATCTAAATTTAGGTGTGGGATTTCAGATTCCATGAATTTACTGCTATTGCAGAGTATATTAATGGTTCTGAAGATTACATTTTATTATTTTTAAAATGATTGTACATCTACAAAATATTGGATCTAACCGTGCAGTCAGGCTTGAATGATCTTTTTTGTCTTGAAAGACATTCAAAAATATGAAAGCAGAGTTGAAGCTAGTTATTTGGACGGAAGACAATTAGGAAATCCCAAGGCTTTAGATTACCGTAGTTGGACTAAAAACTTGACAAACATTCCCCTTCCAGCTGGATTGGTGCTCGAGATGTTAAGATAAAATAAAACCTTGTGTACACACTCATACCAATTCTGCATTTAACCAAACCTCCATTTATTTAGATAATGTTAACCTCACCAAAGGATTTTAGCAAGTGAAGGAGCTGTTAAACCGGGGGAGACAAAGTACTGTGCCAGTTATCAAGTTTATTTAACAACATTTATTTCCTTCTCAATCTTTAATTTATATGCAAAAAAACCCCACCATAGCATGACTGGTTTAACAGAGGCTCATTGTTATCGAAAGTACTGTAATCAATACAGACATACCATCCAGATCTCCCAAACAATGGTTTCAAACACAACCCCTAGAGTGCAAAAGGTTGCCTCCCTCCCTACAGCAGAGCATGTGGATTTGGAGGCTATGCTTCAGAATATTTTAATATATAAATCCAGCAAGTGGAGAAAAAAAATAAGGCTCACATATTTCTAAAACATGGAAGTGGTCTTCACATGATCAATTTAATAATATAACCTAATATCATACAAATGAATGAAAGCTCCTGTTAACAGTAAGGCTACATTTGGTTTAACACAGAAGAATAATATGATCAAATACCTTATTTCAGGCACATGAAGTATTAGTACCATTCAATCCACCAAGAGGCAATGAGTTAGTGAAAGATAGAAACAATCTACATTATATGTTCTGTAAATGTAAGCCAGAGTCCCAAAAATGCTACATTGATGCTGTTGGGAAATTAAAGCAGCATATTTAAATATTGTACTTAATACCCTTACATATGCAATACATGTTTCATAAAACTTTTAAAAAAAATCAAAAAGGAGATGTAAAGTTAAAATGATTTCCCCCTTCAAGGAGAAGTGTCAAAAAGTGCATTTATCCCCACTGTTTCCCGTTAACTCAATGGACCCAGTACTCGGTTCTTTCCAAAACAGGCCCCAGCTACAAGCTCCATACAGCAAGTTTGCCCAGTGCTCATGGCTAACAGAAACGCAAACCTTAACAAAGAGATCTGGAGCAGTAGTTCTTCAATTAGTTTTGAAGCAGTCCGCAAAGCTTTCGGTAACACTTTTAAACACATAGTCCCACTTTAGAAAGGCATATCTTTCTTTTACAGGCAACTCCTTCAAACACTTAAGTAGTAAAAGATAATCACTTACCATCATTTGAGTATTTACACGTTACATATCATAGAATGACACAGCACTTGATCAATTGTGCATTTGTGATTAAAAGCACATGATGGATATATACACTATAACTTTTGGGGGGGGGAATCATGTGAAATTGCAGCAAAATAGATTTACAGAGCAATCTCATATTTATTGTAGAATGGTTATCACAAAAACACATATGAAGCAGAATGTGTCCACTATCACTGATGTAACTCTAATTGAAACATTCACACACACACCCGACAGTGCCAATCAGAAGAAAAAAAGGCTTGCAAAATTGGCTCCACTATTCAATATGATCAAATACATAAAGAAAAAAGCATCCTGTAGTTAAAAGATATTCAAGATGTTCCATTTTATTTCAAATATAACTAGGAAATGACCTGGCTAATATTCCTGAAACATTCACTGTGAAAATAGGTATGATACAACATATTCTGCCACAAAAACAAGCTGTTGTATAATAAAAAGCAGGACAAAACCTGACAAAATGTAAGATGCTTTCCTATTTTATCACTGTATTACATACTCAAAATTGCTTAAACTTCATGCTTTACTGAGATGATGTAACAAATTTTCTTGTCAAAGAAATGAAAATCAGAAACAGCCTATTACTGTATATTCCACTGTGTACACAAACTAACCTAAATAAAATCAGCCAGTTCATGCTAAAAAGTTAAAAAGTGAGGTTTGTAATTTTTAATGAACACAAACTAAAGCATTCAAAAATTGTGAAGCTTTAGCTGCAAAACGTTTAATTTATAATATTTTATAATATTATTTAGCTTTTTTGTGTGTTCATACATACATACATGCTTGCACATTTCCAGTTCTGGCTCTGTGAATATTACATTGTCCATAAAATAGAAAAACATGAGATTTTCAAAACATTTTTTTCAATCAGGCTAGCAACATGAGAATTATATCACACAATTATTTCATGCTTGTTGGAATGATGTATGGAAACTAATTGTAAGTATTAATAAGTGGCATTTAAACAAAAGAAACACAAATGCCTTGCTTGTATTTGATCATTTTAGAAGTCAAATGTAACACACCATAATGTTAACTATGTAATAGCTTTATTTTGTTAATATAAAGACGGACTGCAACACTTACCACACCTCCTTTCTTTATTTGTTGGCTTTTCTCTATGCGTTTTAGAATCTTTAACTATTGGGGAAAAATGTTAATAGCTCTAAAAATGCTTCAGTATTGACGTTGTCAACTGAGAATTTGTAATCAGCCCTACTTTACAGCTTAAAACATGTAACCAGTGGAACAATATTTAGCTAGAGGTTTATAAATCCATGTACAAATGACTAACAGAATTGAGACGCTCTCCTCTACTTTACAAATACTTTGTAGAATTGCCTTTAAAATCTTTCAAAGATTGAATTAGGTAGGAATTGTGTCGGACTATGCAAACTGTCACAGGTAAAAGTACTGACTGAAGGTTGTTCAGACATCACAGTAACCATAATTTATAATAATGTCCAGCAATCTAATGCTTTCCAAATGTTTCGAACTAATTTATCTCATTGCTCCTAACTATTGGGCATACTATAGATGGTCCAAATCATCTGGAATATAGTTGGAGAAAATGGTTTTACTACAAATGGAATGAAGATTTTGCCTCATATGCCTTCCAGTCCCCTCTTACATGGCTAAAAGAAAACCCAGAAGTATTTGCTTCTCTTATGATAAATCACTTTTGGGCTTTTCCAAACCTGACAAACTGTAGCTAGCAGTAACCGTATTTCTCTGTAAGAATTCCATCCAATTCAATCTCGTCCCTTGAATTTTTGAATTCTTTGAATGTTATTTTGAAAATAAATTAAAATAATGGTTTAGGATTTGGGTAGAACACCAAAGTGAAGCTAATAAGCAAAAATTTATCATTAGTTCCCATGGATGGGCTGGAGAGAATGCATGTGGCCATCGGCTCCAGGTTTGCTGCAATTCATTCCCTCTTCACAAATAAAATGTATCATGATATCTGAACCAGTGCTGCAGGCAGCAATCTTGTTCCATAGGCTGATGTCTAGAATTCACTATGAATTGAATATTTCAGCTAAGTAATTTTATCCAACCAAAAAAATAAATGGCTCAGTTAAGTCATAAATATGTTTACAAAAGTAAGAAATATATTAAAATTTTAGCAAATATATGCTGATGAATTTGATCTGTTACATTTTTTCCATTTTTTTAATTTAAAAATCAGATGCAATCTCTCTATTCCAATACACCACAGATAACACTGCTAAGACAGAGACCAGCTCTGGCTCTCTAGTCCCAGCAAACTCTATTATAGAGTTTAAATTCTAAGATTTATATAATAAGGAAGAAAGGAAAGAGAAAGTGTAACCTATTTTTGTCTTATGTCTTACAGTTCAGATGATATGCAAGTAATTTTCCAATTCATATTTAGTAAGCTGATTTTTGTTAAGTCACAGGGCCAATACGAATATGGGATATTTGTCAATGAAACTGGACATATTTTAAAATGCCATTATTAACACTACATAGTATATTTGTTTTAAAATAGTATTCATTTTCATCTAATAGGAAATGTAACCATGTCCTAAGTGGTTAACCTTTTGAAAAGATTCCATCAAGTTTGGTGTCCTCTTCCGATAGTTGTAATTTTTAAAAAGGTCACACACACACACACATACACAAATCAACAAGCAGAAAGAACAATCCCAATAAGCTTAATACAAACTAATTTCAGGGAAAGGGGGATTATTAAAGAATCATTTTAATTTTTAATTCAATGCATCAGGCATAAAGTTGAAACTGGCTCTGCATTAATGTTGTGCCATTTAGCCTCAAGTTAACACAAACGTTAAGTTATATCAGGACGGCATGTTCTTTTCAACAGGATTTCCCTGTTGTGACAAGGATTGAACTTCAATAATTACATTTCTTTGCAACTTCTCTTTTTAATAATGGTCTTTTTTCTTGCAATTAATTTGTAGTTGAAGCCATACTTCATTCAGCATAACTTTACAAATTACAAAGATGATTCAAACTGTTTGTTGGGATTAGGCTCTGCTTCTAATTTTATAGCAGGTATGCATTCTGATTTAGTCCTCCGGGCTTTGTGATATGGAGAGTCAATAACTATTTCGGAGCAAGAAATACTAACTGAAGGGGACTTTTCTATCTTCTTTCCTGTAGCCTTTTCCAGAGTCCCACAACACTGTTTCAGAGCACACTGAATTCTGCAGGGAAGTTCACATTTACTTACACCTTCATCAGAGCTTACAATGGCAAACTCAGGCTGAATGGTTGTTGCATGTATCCCTTCATCATGAAAAATCTCCTTAATATCTTTTGCCACTTTCATATAGGATTCTGGATCCTTACATTTTATGTGAGCAGTGCCAATTATCCTGCTTCCTGCCAGCTGCCACACATGCAATTCATGGACAGCTTCTACATCTTTCAGTTTACGGAGTTTCTCATTTAAAGAGCGAATATCAATTTGCTTAGGAACAGTTTGCAAAAGAATAAGAGCAGATTCTTTAAGCAGAGGATAAGTAGTATAGAGTAGAATGCACACCATAATCAGACAAAGTGCAGGATCTAAATACAGAACCCAACAAGGACCAGCTACAGGGATTTGCTCTAGTTCCATTGCAGAAAGCTGAGTGGAGTTTTTACAGTGGTCATTAACACAAAGATTGATGCAATCCCCAACCTCCGGGCATGGAGTCCAGTAAGAGTAAAATATTATGGCATTCACTACTACAATAACTGAACCCAAGGCATCTCCAAGAACATGAAGGAACACTCCACGCATATTGAGCTGAGCACTGGTATCTTCGTCAATCTCCATGTCTATAGAGGAGTGACTGCTAATATTTCCATTTGGTTGCAACTCCATTTGGCTGTCTTTTACTACATCACCTGCAAAGACAAGAGCAACATTGTTATGCAAATATGAAATCTGTGACGGAATTAGCAACATTATGTTAATATAGTAAGTGAAGGAGATCAATTAAAAATAGTTTTCTTAGCAGAAATCTGGATCCAGAAGTATTTAAGTTATTATGTCTGCCTTATGGTGACAATAATGATCTCTTCAGGGCTCTAGAACAGGGAGCATAAAGTTTTTCCATAACCTGAACCTATTACAGCATGCTAATGTTTTAGCAAATAACAAAATTATTCTCTTCTCCTTTCAAAATGTTCTAATCTTAAGTGGTAAACTAGAATAGAATGTTATGCAGGACTGCTGATGCAATCCTTTCTAAGTTGGACAAGTGGTTCTTCTCTAGGTCCTGACATTAGCTTCAGACCAAAGGCTTCGAAGCAGCAATCCCCAATCTAAGGCTTTCAGGATACCTTGGATCAACTACCATAATCCCCAGCTACACTGGCAACTCTCTAATAATTAAGGGAGTCAGCTAGCAGTTCTGAAGAATTCCACATTGTGAAAGGCTGCTTTATGATTCACAGCCAATCTCATTGTTCAAGCACTCATTAGCTTTCCTTGATTTATTAAACTAATCAAGGCAAAATTCTAATCATCATAGTTAGAGGTGAATAAAAGAAAAAAAGGAATATGTAGGCATATACTGAAAGTTTTGGAGAAAGAACTATGAAATTTGCTATTTTCAAAAATCTGTTCTCTTGAGCATAATGAACAATTTTCAAAAAATGAGAAGACACTCATACATACACAGAAAAACTACCACTGCAGAGGTACAATGATTTATATATGCCTGAATGCATACTCATTGACATATCAAGGATGCAGTGGAAATTATCAGTCAAAAGGAGAGAGAATTGTTAAGACTAGGAAAATGAAAGCTGATGCCCTCACTGTTGACCATGCTAGTATATGGGAGCTTAAACCAAAACATCAGAAGAGCATCAGTTAGCATATCCTGACCATCATTTTATACTGTTAAGTGCAGTAACTGATACAACATAAGTGAAATGCAAAATATTCTGGATTTTGATATTAGGTTTTGCTTCCAATCACACTAGTGGTCCTGAACTAATTCACAATGATCCAGAAAAATGATCTTCATCCATCTCTCTTCTCCTTGTACAACGTAGCACTACTTCCAGTGAATTCTCCCCCAGAAGATGGGGTGGAGGGAAGGGAGACAAACTTTTCTATTCAGGGAAGTTTGGCAGTTTCTGAGTTTATTCATGTTTGCTTTTCAAGTGATTTTGAGAAGCAAGAATCCCATGGCCAGCTCCAATGGCTGGGAAAGAGAAGAAGAGGTAAATCAATTTAAAAAGCTGCAAGGAAATTAAAGAAAGTAGTCATTGTTCTTCCCTGTAGCTAGCCCCCATGTGGTTAGGCTGAATTATTGTGGAAGACCACCTGCTATGGATTAAATAGATAGGAAGAAACTAGAGGCATTTTCACATGTGCACTATGCATATACTCATGAACCTGGCCTCTCAATAGTCAGTCGCTGAGGATATGCTAGAAAGACTTGATCTACTCAAGCCCCCCCCCTCAGGCAAGCCTTAGTCACAGTGCCTAATCTAAAAAAAGTGACAATTGAAGCCAATAAAAATAACCAGAAAATTGCCAAGTGAAAGTATTGCATACAAAAGAATGCCAAAAATACTATGAGGATGAAGTAGCATTTAGTACAAATAATGTCCTGAAAGAATATACTGTAGGTCATTTACATTAAAGAAAGTTAATAAAAGAACAAAATGATGAAGCATCATCATCATCATCTGAGAAAAAATCTACACTCAGAATATCACTGTTCTGAGCTTCCCATATAACATCATATAACAGACTAAATTTATTTTTTCCCACATCAAAAATACTGTCCAAATACAGTACATGCTGACTATAGTAAGACAAACATGCCAAACAAATCGTAATTATTGCATAGGAAAATTTGCATTCAGTATTTTTTTTTCAGAAAACCCAAATTTTGGGGAAGGAACTATATAAAACTGCAGATGGAACAAGAGGGAATGAAAATTGCCTTTTTGCCCACACTCTCAGTGACATTCTAAATTTGGATTAGCAGCATTCTGCAGGCAAAAAATAAGCAATTGTTTTCATACTGAAAAACAAAAAGGACAAAACAGCTATTATATCAAGAGAGACCATTTGTCTGTGTGTTGTATTACAAAATGGGTTTAAGAGTAGTTATGTTGTAGATACTGATGAGAAGAATGCTATTGGCTCAATGATTCCAGCAATGTAACTGGAGGAACTTGAATCATCTCCCACACTCATTTCATTAAACTGACTCCACCTCTATAATGATTTTTACAACTCCCAATGGTGGAGATCAAGAGTTAAGTTTATGGGTGCTGAAAACAGCAATTATATATGTATTAATATACCAGGAATGCTGTACATGTGCTCCTAGCTAAAGATGTGAGCCTAAAACTTTCAAGCTTTAACAGCCACTACAGGGACTTCTTAAGGAGACATGTTTGTTCTTAGAATCATTACCCATAAATACCAATATTCCTAAGATAGACCTACTTTTTAAATGTAGTGGTGGGGTGGGGGTGGGACAAATACAGCTGCATAATCATACCGGCACTATGGATCTTATTGCATAAATCATCCAACGATGATTCCAAGGCCAAATGCAAACTTTAAAAAATCATAAATGATAACACTCATGCCAATAGATGAACAGTGGTAATAAATCCTACTAACCAAGCTGCTTTAGAAATTATCTCAGAACTTTGATTAAATTATGAATCAACATTTCTATATTAAACTAAATTACAATTATATTGACTACAGAACATTGCCACAGGAATTAATTTCCATGACAAGGAATAAGTTCTACATCTGCAATGTAACTAGCCCTTAAAGGAACAATTCTGCATTTATTTTATTATATTTATATTTTGCCTTTCACTCAGAAGATAAAAGTGGCATACAAAGAACTTGCATTTCCTATTTTTCCCCAAAAACGTACTGTGAAGTATGTTGGCCTAAGAGGAAGGCAACAATCCTATGAACCAATGAACTTCCATGGCAGAGGGTGGAGTAGAAATTAAGAGCAAGAACCAGCACTAGCTCTCAAATAGCAATCCAAATAATTTTGTCCAAAAAAATAGATGATTTGATGATTCAATCTTTAATGACAACAGACTTAAGAAAGGGATTAAATCAGAATAAATGCTGCAGAAAACCTATTGGTGGCCTACACTGATGGCTTCTCAATATTTCATGTCAGTAAAAAAGCTATAGACTACATAATTGGGTAAAGAATGACAAGTATTCTGTGTATGCTCAGAGAGAAGTGCATACCAGATCTACCATGACAGCTGGTGTCTATGTATAAGTTCTATGTTAAATTTTGCTGCTGGAAAAAATTCTTCAAGCAATGAACCAACATTACACAAAGGCTGCTAGTTGTTGAGACACATGGAAGGAAAGTGCAAGTGAAGAGGAACTCTGAAGAAATTCTCTTCTATACAAGGAACATTGTTTAGCCATTTTAATGACATTAAATTCACTACAGTACAGGAAAGTTCTCTAAAACCTTTCAGAGTATTTGCTTTTGTGTTTTAGTGAAAGTGGGGTTCAAGAAGAGTTTTTTGTTCTCAAGTAATCGATGACCATTTCCCATATGCCAGGTTTTCAGAATTCAGTCCGATTACGGCCTAATGAAGAATCCTGGAAAGGCCTACAGCAATACTTAAGGTCATTAAGATCAAGGCAATATAGTGAAGAAATGATTAATAGAACCCATTAGAGAAAAAGTTGTCATCCCCCCAGAGCAAAAGATGCTCAAAGTGTCTGCTGGGGCATGATGAGGTAACAGTAACCATGGCAGTGGGGTTGCCAAGACAGTAAATTAGGGTCAGCATGGCACAATCGCAGAGGAAAGGCAGATCACCAAAGGGTAAAATCTCTCCCATGATCAGACCAAGGGGAAGTCACAATCCCCTTTGGGTCAGGAGGGCTCGGTTATAACTATCCTTTTATCGTCTTTATTTGTGCGGGCAAGATGGGATTCAAGCCCAAGGTTTTTCCCTGGCTTAAGAAGAGCACTTTCTGAGGCAGGCTTGGATCTAGGTACCTCTAAACATGATCAGATCAAGGTAGAAGCCCCTCCGCATCTGCACCCCACCCCAACCAAGCCCTTCCTCAGCTCACCCAGCTTCTCCAGGCTGACTCCATTGGAGCTGTTGAAATTGTCCACCAGGGTGTTGGTCTCCTCTTCTTTATGTAGGTCGCCGGGAGGCGGCTCCGCCTTGCCTCGGGCACCGCTCCGGCGGTGGCTTCCCCCTCCGCCGTTCCCGCCATGCGAATGGCCGTGGCCGCCGGCGCCGTGCTGGTGGAAGAGGCAGAGCCCCAGGACGTTGATGAGCAGCCCGGCGGCTCCGACGCCGATGACCACCAAGGGCTGCTCGATCTCATGGGGCTCGGTGAAGCGCTCGATGGCTTCCAGGAAGATGGTGAAGCAGAGCGCGGTCAGGAAGACGGCGTTGACCAGGGCGCCCATCACCTCGGCCCGCACCCAGCCGAAGGTGTTCTTCTTGGTGGCGCGGGTGCGCTGGGCGAAGCGCACGGCCACCAGGGCCACCACCAGAGCCATCACGTCGGAGAGCATGTGGAAGGAGTCCGAGAGCATGGCGAGGGAGGCCGTCAGGCGGCTCACCACCACCTCCACCACGAAGAAGCCGAAAGTCAGCGCCAGCATGCACATCAGGCGCACCCGCCGACGGCCGTGCCGCCGCCGAGCCGGAGCCGGCCGCTCGCCCGGGCTCTCCACGCCCATGCTGCCGGCCTGCGGAGCCACTCAGCCGCCTAGCAAAGGCGCCGCCGCCGCCGCCGCGCCGAATCTGCGAGGGAAGATGAGCCGGGTAAGCAACGCCTCTCGTCGGCCGGCCGAGGCGCCGCGGCCGCTGCCGCCGGTGAAACCACCCCGCTAGTGGCGCGGCTAGTCTCCGCAGTAATCTTCCACCAGCGCCGGGGCTACTGCTCGCCCACGGGCCAAAAGGCTTGTGATCGTCACTATCGACGAACCGTCTCTCTGTGGCTCCGCCGCCGCGCCGTCTCCCTTCTATATAGACCGCCTTCCGAGAAGCGGCGGCAACCACCCCGCCGCTCTTTGCAGACGGTTTGAAACTAAACTTTGCACCCGAACCCCCTAACACTCCTTTCCACACGGAACCCCAGAGCCACCCGCCGCTAAGCTCCGCCTCTCTGGATCTTCCTCATTGGCTACGACCCCGGCAACCGGGCGGCCCCGCTCACACCTCCCGGCGCGATTGGCCTCCGGGGATTGTCTCGCCAAACCATCCGCCATGCCTCCAGACGGCTTTCCGATTGGCCTGGCTAACCTCAGGCTTTTCGGAGGTCCCGCCTAAGAGGCAGGGCGATCGTTTTGATTGGAAGAGGTGCTCGGTCGCGATCTATGGCATCCTATCAATCTTCTCTTTGGAGCCGCCTCCGAAAGAGTTATTTTTTTCGGGACTGGTGCAAAAGGCGGTGGCGGGCATCGAACGGAACGTTTCCCCCCTTTTTTTTTTCCTTCGCCCTTCCCCCCCCCCCAGCCCACCCTTCGCCCTGGTTTTCCACACGCCCCGCCAGGCGGAGGCGGCCCTTCCTTCCAAAAACTGCTTGGCGCTCGGCCCCAACTTCCCCTTTTCCCTCGGTGACACTGACAGCTCCCCCCCCCACCTCCGTGTCTTGCCACCGCACCATGACGTGGAATAAGACCGGGGGAAGGGGAGCTGGAAAGGGGCCAGGGCGAGCTGGAACCTGCCAGTGTGCACGCGACACGCAAAAGCCCTGGATCCGTATCTGCCGAGTAACCCTGCTGGGTGTGAAATAAAGAAAACTGCTGAGGTTCGCAAGCCTGCCTTTCCTGCAAAGGAAGCTCCGGATCAGGATGCGTGTCTGCCCTAAGGGTTGCTCTCACGCCATTCCTGCGAAGTATTTTAAGCCGAGGGAAGAAGGGCGGCCCTCGGTCCTCCACTGGGGCCTCGAGAAGAATATGGATTTCTTTTTTCTTAGTTCAACTCTGAATGGGTTGTTATTGGAACGGTTTGAAAAGGTTTCCGGAGAGACCTGTTAGTGTTGGTGGCCATCGCATCAAGCAACAACTACACAGTTTGCAACGACTTGTTTCCAACTCGGTGCTTTAACCACTACCCCAAACTGTCTCCTTAGCCTTTTTAAGATGCTATAAGCATTAAACGGTGTCTCTGGGATTGGACGATGATCACAAGGAACTCATGAAGTGCATTGGGAAAGTGATGGGTTTGTGGTTACAGCTTGTGTTTTATCTTTTCTGGGGTGTTATTATTATTATTTTTTTGTGCCACACCAGGTGGCAGCACCTGGCTGATAGAAAAAAGCTAAGTGGAGTCAGGCCCAATTAGTGCTTGGTGGAGTTCCCCAGGAAATACTGAGATTTCGGTGTAGATGGAGAAGTGTATATATATATATGAGTCTTTGGTCATTCGGGTTTTCTCCCGTGTAAGATTAGAAGTGTCATAGCGACGTTTCGATGAAATCACATTCATCATCGAAACGTCGCTATGACACTTCTAATCTTACACGGGAGAAAACCCGAATGACCAAAGACTCACATATAAACACCCGTGAAAACCTCAGAAAACATATATATATATATATATATAGGCTCCCTCAGAGAGGGTACGCAATCTGGGTGTCCTCCTGGACCCACGGCTGACACTGGAAGACCAGTTGGCAGCCGTGGCCAGGGGGGCGTTTTATCAGGTACGCCTGATCTACCAGTTGCGGCCTTTTCTGGACCGGGACGCCTTGCGCACAGTCACCCATGCCCTTGTCACCTCCCGCCTGGACTACTGCAATGCTNGGTACGCTCCCACAGAGTGGGTCTCCTCAGGGTGCCGTCAGCCAGACAGTGCCGGCTGGCGACCCCCAGGGGGAGGGCCTTCTCGGTGGGAGCTCCCACCCTATGGAACGAACTACCCCCAGAGATCAGGGTGATCCCGGATCTCCCTTCCTTCCGCCGCGCCCTTAAGACATGGTTATTTCAGCTAGCAGGACTGGCCCAAGGGGTAATTTTTAGCTGGGTTTTAAAATAATTTTTAAAATAACAAAGGCCAAATTAATATTTCCTTTTAATTATGTTTTTAATGATGGTATTTTTTGTATTTTTGTATCTGTTTTTATTAGGCTGTTAGCCGCCCTGAGTCCGCAAGGAGAAGGGCGGGGTAAAAATACAATAAATAATAATAATAATATACACACACACCCTGGAAGGAGGCAATGCAAACAATTTAATTGCTACAAAGTTTATGGTTGTGTCCAAGGCCAGAGACTAAATGCAGCCCAGCAGAGTCTTTGCCTTTACAGTTTTCTATGCTGTGGTGACATAATTACAAAGGATAAAACCTTTCTTTTTTATATAACTGTATTGATTTTCAAAAACAGAATTAAAAGTTAGACAAGAATAGGAAGGCAGTTGAAAACAAGGATTCATGAACATCGATGCAGTTAAACAGCACGATCAAAAATCCCTGATCTCAAGCCACATTTACAATGAATAATACCAGTTCGACTGGAAAGGAACAAAAATCATTGGCCATGCCAACATCTGCCACATGTGAATTTATTGAAGCCTGGTATTCTCCATTTTCTTTCCACTCTCTTTGCTGATGATGATCTTGAAATTGAAACTGAATTTAGCTTTTAGGAGAAGTCTCTGTTTTCAAGGAAAAGGAAGGAATCTGCCAGATAAATCAAGGGGAAACCCAAGATATGTTATGTAAGACTATCAGTGGATTCTGGTTGTTATTTCTTGTAAGAATAGAATAGAATAGAATAGAATAGAATAGAATAGAATAGAATAGAATAGAATAGAATAGAATAGACGGATAGGATAGGATAGGAATAGAGATAGAACCTTGGAGGTCTTAGTCCAGCCTGCTGCTCAAGCAGGAGAACTTATACAATTTAAGATAACTGACTATCTAGTCCAGGCATGTCAAACTCGCGATGTCATGTGACGTCACGTGACGTATCAGGACTTTTTCCCCATTGCTGGCAATGGGGTGGGCACAGTTTTAGCATGACGCAGGCCAGCAGTTTGACATGCCTGGTCTAGTCTTTTCTTAAAAACCTCCAGTGATTTCTGAATGCAAGCTCTTCCACTGGTTAATTGTCCTCACTGTTAGGAAGTTTCTTCTTAATTCCAGGTTGCGTCTCTCTTTGATTAGCTTCCAACCATTGTTTCTTGTCCTGCCCTCATGCTTTGGAGAATAATTTGACCCCCTCTTCTTCGTGGCAGCCCCTCAAATGCTAGTAAAAGAACAATTAACAAGCATATTGATTTAGCTCCAGCATATGAATATGTAAGAAACCAGACCATTTGAATGACCAATCAACAAGAGAACCAATCAGCTGCTCAGAATTTAAATATAGCTCTAAATGAACAACCAATCGCACAACCAACTGACCATACTGGCACACAAGATATATGTAAAGAGGAATAGGACAAGAAAATCCTGTGATGATGTTACTAGTCTGGTAACAAAATGTTGGGAACTAAATGGCAAGCTCAGAGAGCAAACCACTGCCAAAAATCTAAAACCCAAGCTACAAGTATTTTCTGTTATTTCAAAGAATAAAAAGAGTTGAAAAATAAAGAAAAATTAAGACAAATCAGAAGTGCAAAAAAAGAAAACTATCTTTTTTTGCATGTTCCTTTTCCTTTTCTATTTCTTTTTGCACTTCTATATTATTTCTTGTTCTTTTTGCATAACTTTTCTTTTCATGCTTTCTGTTTCTATTACTATCATCTAGTGACCATTTGAAGTTACAAGGGGACTGAAAATTGACTTATGGCTGGGTTGGTTTTTTTTTTTTTACATAACTGTTACAGCATCCCCATGGTCACTTGTTCAAAATTTGGATGCTTGGCAACTGGAAGGTATTGATGACAGTTGCCGTGTCCTGGGGTCATGTGATCACTTTTTGCAAACTTCTAACAAGCAAAGTCAATGGTGAAGTCAGAATTACTTAATAACTGTTACTAATGTAACAACTGCACTGATTCACTTAAGTGTGACAAGAAAGATGTAAAATGAGGCAAAACTCACTTAACAACTTCCTTGCTTAGCAATGGGAATTTGGGACTCAATTGTTGTCATACATTGAATACTAGCTATATGTGCTTCATTAATTGTAGAAAAGTTTTTGATTGTATCAATCACATGAATTTATGGAAAGTTCTGAAAAAATGGGAATGCCAGAACATCTCATTGTACTCCTGAGATATTTAATTAATTTAATTTTTACTAATAATATACTTAGAGACTTTCTGTATGAATTGGATACAGTGGTAATGGAATGTTACATTAAACCCAGATTTTCATACTAACTACACTGTTTAGTTCCCAAGATATTCCTCCTACATGTAGAAGCCATACTGATCTGAAATTGGCTCTTTCCTTCAGCGTACTTACAACATTGTGGGTTTTGTCTACAATTTGGGAAGCTGAATTAATTATTGGTGCAAGTCTTGCTCCGAAAGAAACACTGAAAAGACAGTTTTTCAATATTTCCTTTGAAGCTGTGGGGTGAGCAATTTCCCTCTTAACCAAGTGTGCTTGCCACTGTCCTCATCCTTCCCAGCTGCTCTGAGAGATAACTTTATAACCTGATCAACAGCCACCTGTAGCTGATTAAAAAAAATAGTCTCTATGAAACGCAAGCATGATAGGGAAGATAGAAGGAAGAAAGTGGTTGGCTGCAATTTTCTGTACTGTTGTCTTGAGGCAG